TCTGCCTTCAGGAATATTAACATGAAAGGTTAAATATACTGTAAATTGAACTCTGATTTAGTAAGTCCAGTAAAATCTTTAGAGTAGGATGTAAGAAATTCTTAAGGGTMGAGAGGATTTGAACTGGAACATAAATGAAACCAGGGATTCAGAAATTGAGAAAGGAGGTGTGGTTCATTCCAAATAGGAACAGTAGAGAGAAAACTTTCATGTGCTTAGGACTTGGGAGATTTCTCTAGACGAATAAATATATTTCTGATGGCTCTTTCTCCCTCTTGTCTGGGGTAGTTTCTTCACATGCACATATTGATTAGTACAGAGCTCAAAGTCTCCAAGGAACCCTCTGCAGATCTCTGAAGTTCATTCTCTCCGCCCCGCAACCCYCCCCCCCCTTTCTCCACCTCTCTTTTCTCTGGTGTTCTGCTCCATAAATTCTGCATTTTAAACACAGTGGAGACTACCATGCCATGTCTGTTCTGTCCTTGCTCTGTGCCCTGGATGCTGTGTTTAGGCAATGAGCTAGCACAGCCTTAGGTCACATCTCGTTTGTATTCCTTTTTTGGGGATTCCAATCTTGTGGAATCTGTTGCCTAATGTCCAAACACTTTTTTTAAAATATATATTTTATACTTTTCTAAAGTAAAGGAAATTAGTTCTCTGTGAATACATTCTGACCAAAAGCTGAGGTTTCCCAGCTGTTTGTTTTCTATAAGAAGGCACCATGTCTATTTTACATCACAGACTCCAAGGATTTTAGAGTTCAGGGGACTCCTAGAGGTCACCTAATCTAAGTCAGTACCAGTCTCTAGTAAAGTGATCCTCATGGATAACCAGATGCCTACAAAAATACGACTTCATGCCACACAGGAGGATGTTTTAGTCTAGCTGTGTTTCTAACAAGTCACACCCCAACCATTAAGACAGAATTATCAGTAAAGGCATTAGAGTAAAAAATTCCTGGGCATTGCCACCAGTTAATTTGTCTTTGGGAGGTGCTAGTGATTATTTAGGCAACAAAACTTCTAAAGCATTTCGAAATGGAAAATAAATCACAATTTTGTCTTGCTGGCTGTTGGTTTCCATTTCTATCCGATGTTTGTACTGCTAGACTCCTTTCCCCTTCCAGGTATCATTTAAGCATAGATGCCTTTAGGTTTTGACTTGCTACTTTTCCCCTTTACAGAGGCTGTTACGGTTTAGATGTGGTGTCCCCCAAAAGCTCATTTGTGAGACAATGCAAGAAGGTTTGGAGGAGAAATGATTGGTGATAGCCTTAACCTAACCAGTGAATTAATCCCTGATGAGATTAAGTGGGTAGTAGCTGGAGGCAGATGGGGTGTGGCTCTAGGAAGTGGTTCACTGGGGCTTGCATTTGGAGTGTATATTTTGTATCTGGAGAGTAGAGTGCCTCTCTCTCTTTTTCTCTCTCTCTCCTTTCTGATCACTGTGTGAGCTGCTTCCCTCTGCCACACTCTTCTACCATGATGTTCAGCCTCATCTTGAGCCCAAGGAATGGAACTGTCTATGGATGGAGACCTCTTAAACTCTAACCCTCCAAATAAACTTTCCTCCTCTACAGTTGTTCTGGTCAGATCTTTTAGTCAGCAGCAAAAGAGCTGGCTAAGACAGAGGCCCTGGGGACGYTTTATTGATGGTTATCTGCCTTTTATCTTCTTGAAATCAACTTCAGTTTGGTTTAAAGTGGACCTGCATCTAAAATTCCTTTACTGCTGTCCTCTCTGCTCATCACCCTGCCTCTTCAAGGTATTGCTGTCTTTAATATCAACATCTTTGAGGGTTTCAAAGCAGTCCACTGAGGTAGAAACTTGAAACTCATTACAAATGTTGTCACTGAAGGGACCTTGGACTCAGGAGAGCCATGCTTTTTCTTTTTCTACCATAGAAAACACCACAACGTAAATATATTTCTATTACAATCCCACCTCTGAGTTATAAATGAAAGACATGGTTAAAGACCTTAGTAGTAGTGTGTATGTTTTCCATCATTAAAAGTATGTATACAGGGGTTGGGGTGGTGGCTCAGTGGCAGAGTGCTTGCCTAGCATGTGTGAGGCCCTGGGTTCAATTCTCAGCACCACATATAAATAAATAAAATAAAGGTCAATAGACAACTAAAAAAAATATTTAACAAATTAAAAAATATATGTATAAGAATAGTTTAAGATGGTCCCAAAGAATTCTAGTAGGTTTAACAGGTCCCATCCCTATCTCTCCTTTCCAATATGCATGTTTTAGAGTGAGTTATTATCAAATTATTTAAAAAAGAAAAAAATTAAAACTTTGGAGCAATAATTCTATACATGTTTTTTTTCCTATTTCCAAATCCTCCACCCCTTTTAAATGACATTATTTCTATTACTCAGACTATCAAGAGACTTTCAATTAAACTGTTTATTAACCCTTTGTTATATTTTATAAAGAAAAACTTTTTTTTTTCTGTACCAGGAATAGAACTCAGGGGCACTTAACCACTGGGCCACATCCCCAGTCCAGTTGCTCAGGGCCTCAATAAGTTCCTGAGGCTRGCGTTGAACTGACAATCTACTGCCTCAGCCACTGGGATTACAGACATGTACCACCATGCCCAGCAGAACAACTACAACTATTTTGAAAATAAAATTTCAAACAAAATTTACACCTAACACCATGGACTCGTGTGTTTTTTGAGAACAAGACACTATGTACAGCTAATTGTGTTTCAGCACCAGTGACTCAGTCCTATCAACATCCCTTTTAAACCCAAACACAAAGTTGGTTAAAGGAGTCTCACAGTGTCTCTGATTGTCTTCAAGTACCATCTAGGGTGCTGAAATATCATTGAATATGCTAACCCATATATATGTATGATGAGCATATATTTTGCAGACTGCTTATTTATATGTTAAAATCAGAAATGCAAGTGGACCTATAACTGTAGAATTTTCAAAAAAGCTGCAAGAGGTTATGTTATAGCATGGGAGACTGCCCACATCCTTTAACACTGCCCGTGCTTGAGGATGACGATTAAATTCCTGTCACTTGAAATGCAATAAAAAGACGAGTCTCCTACCAGAGGGTCTGGAGYAGGAAGAATAAAACTTAACTTGCCTTCTATCTTCAAATTTGATATTATATAGTGAATAAGTACTCCATCTTTTCAATGGGAACTTTCAGGCCAACTATTTGATTCTGTCATTTCTTTGCTATGTCTGTCTGTTTCTCTCTCTCTCTCTCTCCCCTCCCTCTATCCCTCTCTGTCTTCCTCTTTCCCACACTCCACCCTCCTCCCACACACCACCCCCTCCCTCCTTCTCCCTCCTTCCCAGCCTTCAATATGCTTGTTTTGGTTTCCCTGTGACCTTCTTAAATGAATTGTCAGCAAGATCCAGTCTCAATTACTTCCCACCTGAGCTCTGTGGTGACTCTGTTCCTCTCTAGMACATGTCATCACAAAAACCTGTAACAGCTACTGAAGTCTATTTTCATCTTTGATCATTATATCAGCAGTCTTTGGATGGCCTACTGGTCTAACTATATACTACACAGATGTAGATAAAGTATACGCCCCCGAAGCCACTGTGAAATTTTCATGAAAGTGTTCCAGGAGGCAGATACAATGTCCAGGTTAATGGTGCCAGAACAAAGCTGTGATTTATGCTTTCTGTTTTTAAATATACCACCAAACAACTTGGTACAACTATCACATAAATTAGATGCGTGTCTGCATTCAAATACTGGGGAAATAAAGGTGTTCTAATTTTTTTAAGAGTCTGAAAGTTATGATTTTTTTTTTGTTGACAAAATATACGTTTATTTAACTAAAATAAAACATAAGAAGAGTTCCTGAAGTTATAAATGAGGTGTTTCATTGTATTTTACAGACAATATTGCACCATCAATGTTGTATTGGCTTTGCATCACTGTGAAAAAACATCTGAAGACAGTAAACTAAAGAAAGAAAAAATAATTTCTGGCTCACTGTTTCAGAAGTTTTAGGCCAAGTTTGCTTGACTGTATTGCTCTTGGGTCTGAGGTAAGGCAGAATATCACAGCAGTAGGAGCTGTGGCAGAAAAGATGGTTTAACTTATTGTAGCAATAAAAATAATTAATTTTTTTAAATAGAGGGATGGGGGAGGGAGAGATGGGAGAAAGGAAGGTGGCTGGGACATAAAGAACCCTTCAAAACACGACTCAACACCTCCACTCCTAAAGTTTTCCTCACCTCTCAATAGCACCATAGTCAACACATGGATCTTTGTGGGACATTCCAGATCCAAACTATAATAAAGGTCAGCTCAAGATATAAAGAAGTATTTGATAACACAATCAAGATTAAAACTCTTTGTTGAGGTTTCTTGTTCTAGCAGTCAGAGCTCAGTGTATGATTCCATAGGTTAGCACAGGAAATGGGTAAGAAAAAGTGCAGGATTGGACTGTCACAAAACAGAACAAAGAGCTCAAAGTTGAAATTGAAGTTAATGGATCTTCAAGGGGGTCATCAGATCTTGGGGTGGCAGGGGCCAATGGGTAGCAAAGGAAAGATGCGGGGGGCTGCTGTGATGGATGGGAGAGTAAAAGCAGCAATCAGAACCATCCAGCTCTTGAAGAAGTAGGGTATGGGCTCTTGGTGTTCCTACCAGCGACATCTAGGAACATCTTTTAAATCCTCACTAGATRTGAATAAGCAGAGGAGCTCTAGGCTGAGTGACTAAGTCTGGCTGACTCACTGGAGGCCTCTGGATTTGCAGTTTAATCTTTGTTTGCTCTATGGAGGAATAGCAGGGAGTAGTTTGGCAGAAGATCAGTAAGGACAGTTATTTCATTGAATCACATTTTCAGAAGCTTCTTGGGAGCGTCTTTAACCTGTCAGGAAGATCTGGAGGCATAAGTGGATGAAGTAGGTGAGGATCCAGAGCAGGTCCGAGAGGATAAGGGTGCTGGCTGCGGACTCGTGGGAGACTCTGTCTATGATGGCACTTGAAGGTCCTGTTGGCTCCAACTATGGCTCCCATTGCACCAAGAACTTCTGAAGCCAAGTTCTACAATCACCCATTGAGGACCTGCGTAAGAACTCGGTCACTTCCTTGTCATTTTCCCACATTTCTTTCATCCAGTTGGACCCAGAATGCCTCTCTCTCCACCTTCTGTTGTCTGAGTCAAAGTAGAGCCACATCTGTCCACTGAAGCCCAACTGCCAGGAGCTGTTGGATTTATGCTGACAACACATCCTGCCCTCCAGGGTGTGCAGACCCCTGGCCATGTCATTTTCTGCTTTAATGTCAGCCAGTTTCTCTCAGAGCCATTTTCTGCTCTTCCCAGGTGATTGTGGCACTCACTTTATCTCCCAGGGCACTCAAGGATTTGACCTTGTCCAGGCCACAGTCATAGGAGAGAAAATTCTTCGGATCCACCTGGCCTTGGACTGTACACCATTGCTGTCCAGGTGCTGSCTTAGAATTGACGGTGAAGTCATAGCAAAGAGAGTGTGTGTGTGTCTGCCCATGATGCCAGAAGAAAGTCTAGGGTCGGGAGACCTGCCTCCTGGCGCCAAGATTTAAAGCCCGAGGCCCCTCCACTCCTGCAACCAGCATCCTCCTCTCCCTCTGCTGCCCCTGGCAGAGATACCAGCGGCCGGGTCTACAATATTTTTAATCTGGGTCCTCCCAGGTATAGATATCAAGATGGGTTTAAATGGATGAGGATTTAATTAGAGAAATGCCTGTGAGAGGAAAGGAAAAGGGAGCCAAAGAAAGCTGAGCCTTCTGACCACAATGTAAGTGCAATGAATGAGAAGAGGGAAGGAAGGTTGGTTGGAAGTACCCTAAATTACATGTGATCTAAGAAAGGCTTGGCAGGACCTACAAGGAGTCCTCGAGCCAAAGCTACCTGCCAGAGGACTTCCATGTCTCCCAGRAATGGGCATCTTGGAATTCCTTCTGAATTCAGTCCTGTCCTAGGAGCAACCCATGGGAGCAAGGCATGATGCAAACACAGAGATGGGTTTCATGGGATGTCAGCTGAAGCCTTGTTGAGTCCTCTGTTGTGGAGATCTGTGAGGCACGTTCCTATGCCGACTGAAATGACTTTCTTAAAATATCAAGTACAGGTCAGGATTCAGGAATTAATTTCATATAAAATATCCCAATGCATCTAATTACAATTTATTTATAACAGGATTTTATTACTTCAAAGRTTTGACCCAAAATAAACAGCAAAACAAAGAGGTCTCCAAACAATAKACCTCATATTGGAAATTTTGTTGTCAGAGTCCCAGGGTCCCAAAGTGATTTCATTTACACCTYGAATCTGATTATGTTTGGCTGCTTAGGCTAAGTAAAAAATAAAAATAAAAAACAAGAAAAAGAATCACATTTGGCTACACTCATTTTCTTCTATGGTCAAAGAAAGCCAACAGCTTTAGCAGCAGAGGACATCATTTTTGCTGGAACTAAACTCTAGTAGGAATTTATGACTTGCCTCCCTATATGAAGAACATTCAGAACCAATGGATCATCTCCAGATATACAGTTTATGAAGGTGGGATGTACAGTATAAGAAAGTTATCCTTAATGGTAGAGAACTCAACTAAACTGAAACTCAAGGAAATTCTGTGCTTATCTTCAATAATACAACTCAAAAACATACCTTCAAATATTATAAATAACACTGAGATAGAAATCAAAGACTTCAGAAAAGAATATAGTGAACTTGATCATTACACTAGGCTACCGTTTCTCAGTTTCTAATATTGTAGGGAATCTTTCTCCAATCCTTGATGGTGATCAATTCACCAAAGAATTTGCAATTAGCATTTCCTAAAGTATAGTATTTATATCACTTACAGTCTAGGGCATGTTAGAAATATAGAAAACTTTTTAATTTTATTTATTAAAATGTTACTTTAGTGAGTTTTAGAAAAAAAATAACTAGCTCATTGAAACTATGAGTTCACAGAYAAGGTTAAATTTTTAAAATCAAGAAAAATACGAATAGTACACTGGTAAGCAGATGTGGCATAAATCATATAGTAAAGAAGGTGTGGTAGATTAGTTATTGGCCCCAAAGATGGCCACATGCTAACCCTGGGACCCATGAGTGTCATCCCATACAGAAGGGAGGGTACAAATATAACCAAGTAGAGAATCTGGAGATGAGGAGGCTATCTTGGATGATGTACATGAGTCCAAAGATGAAATCCAAGGGTGTTTATAAAAGGAATTCTGGAGGGTTAAAGACAGAGTATTAGGAGATGACATGAGGGGAGGAAGAGGTTGGAGTGATGCAAAGGAGGAAGGTTTCTGTTCTCTAGAAGCTGAAAGAGACAAGGAATAATTTCTCCCCTGAAGCTGCTAGAAAGGACCAGCCTTGCAGACAGCCTGATTTTAGCACCATAAGATCTATTTCAGTCTATTGCCTTTCAGACTCCAGATTTACAAAAAGATGGGAAATGTAGTTCAAGGAGGTGATTCTTGCATTGATAATAAATTTCTCTTGTTTGATGCCACTTAATTTATGGCAATTTAATGCAGCATAAATAGGGAACTACACAGATGCTAATCAAATGATGGACATTCATGAAGCATTAGTTTAGCAAATGTCTGAATGCAGGCATTTATATTATGGATCACGATAGTAGTCTTAAGTTGTAGGTGCAGAGTTTGGCGTAATTTATGTATTCCTTATGCAAGAAATATTTTTGTAAGTTGTTCATTATTCTGGAATATACTTACACCTGCATCTGGAGACTTGAAATCACTTGTGTAATTTAATGTCAATAATTATAATTAATGACACTTATTGAGCCTTAAACAGGCCAGTCATTGTTTAAAGAACTTTATATGTATTATGAATCTTATGAGGTGGCTTCTGTTCTAGTCTGTTTTACAATGGAGAGGTGAAATAATTTACACAAGATCTCCAATGGAGGAGGCAGCTTTGATCCTATAGATCAGTTTCTGTTTGGTACCTGAGTTCTCAAACATCCTTAAGGAATCCTGCATGATCTTTTCCAGTTTACTTGCTAAACTTGGGCTTTAGTTCCTTTTAATGATATATTTTTTTTACTTTGTTCCTTAAGTTTTCACACCTAGTTACAGAGGCTGATGTAAAATAAGACTGAAATAGTTCTGCCTTCCTCTGCCATCTGGTAATGTTGACCCATCAGAAATATCCAGTACACTGTTAGTTCTCAATGATGTTAAAACCATATTTACTAAGATTATGCCTGCTAGTAATTTCTCATCAGAAAGCTACCTCAAATATGAAATGATATCAAGTAAGATGCTTTTTAACAACACTAAACAACAATCAGGGAAGAAATAAAAATGTACCACCTTATTAAAATGCCATTACTTCTTTGCAGGAATTTATTCTGTGGTTTTGCTTTTTGCCTTTTATTTTTGGAAAAATGATGAAGGCTTTCTCTCTCACTATAGAATCTTGGAGAAGGCACTCAGGTGTTTTGGGCCTTAGGTCCTTCTCCTGCAAAATTGGGTTGGACTAGAAGAACTTTAAGACTTCTTTCAGTTCTTAAATTCAGTGACTCTGAAATATATACTTATTTATTTGTAGAAAATAACCCAACAGAACTCTGCTTGTTAATATAACAGGGGACCTGATTTGCCAGGAAACATCCCAGTCATCTCTAACACACTTGTGCCTTTCAAGTTAGACTTCAGGGTAAGGCGAAGGGGTTATTTGTTACTAACCTCGTGGGCTACTTCTAAAACGCGTTCCTTTTCAATGAGCAGCATCATTTTGTTCATTGTGGGAGTTTGGATAGTCTGCCTTGTTCCTGTGAACTTTCTACCTTTGATAAAAATGAAAAACTGAGTTCCCATTTATTATTTTAACTTATTCTTCTACTACGGCTCTCCAAATACTGCCTGCTTCAACCAGATCGGTTAATATATGGCATCCTTTAGGGAGCAGACTTAGAAATAATGTCACAGATGCCTGCATTACACATGTGCTGGTGTCCATGACCTCCCCCAATTTTCCAGAGACTGTCCTAATTTTAACACCAAAAATCCTCATAACCCAGGAACCCCTCAGTCTTGGAAATATCAGGATAATGGCTGCTCTTAGGTCTTTCTAAATTCTATGGCTTGAAATAAGTCAATTTTCTACAATAATTTAAGTATTCTCTATCTACACTACCTAACACAGGAGGCAAGTGTAGCTACTGGATATACAAAGTGTGAACAATGTAATTGAGGAACTGAATTTTCAACTTGAGATGAAATTTAAGTAGATAACATGTGGCAAATGAGTACCTTGTGGGCAGCACAGCTCTAAAGGATGTTATGAAATTGATCCCTACTGAGTGTCTTGTGCAGCATCCCAAAGGAAAGCGGATTGGAAAGTTATGTGACTGCATGCCTCTATAGTATTCAGCCCACAGCTTTAGGTCCTGGGTCCATTATTTTATTGCCAAGGCAAAACATTGAGGTCGTCTAAGAATATTAATAAGAGTCATCTTCATCACACTCCCCAGGTCAAAGAATAGAATCAGTCATTTAAGCTGAACTTCAATAAGCAGGTAATCAAATCAAAATGAAAAGACTTGTAGTAGTTAATGCCTTGTGGTTTTGCTGCTGAGCCATAAGCAGCTGTGGATTCTGGATGTATGCAGAAGAAGACCTTTTTGAGCCAGCCTTGGGATACACTGTAGTCAGGGCTATTATACCAATTCGTACCAAACTAGAAGGACTGATTTAAAATTTTCCCCTTTAAGAGAAACTCAGGGAACTGAAGTTTTCTTTATTATATCAAAGGGARCAGTCAGCAGAGAGAAAAACACAACACTACATCCTAAAGGAGAAAGAGAATTTTCTTGAATTGCAGAATGTTGACACCATACGTCTGTCCAACTTCAAAGCTGTTGGTTATAAATCTTGCAGATAACTGATCATCCCAAATCCACAAAGGCAAAAGTTGAAAGAGAAGTTGGAACATCAGACAAGGCAAAGAAACTGCACAGCCCCTGAAGGAGTTGAAGCCAGTTACAGTGTGACATATATCATGAAGTTTCTGTAGGACTTGGCTGTCCATTTAAATGCTAATGTACAATCCTGGCATATCCTAGGAATTAAAGTGCTGAAGCAAGCAGCAGTGCTGGAAATTTCAGAAGATTGTTGAATATTCAGTACCCATGTGCTAAAGAGCTCAGGTAGATTTTCAAATGTCAGAGAACAAACCACAGCTCTCACTTCTGTGTGCACTGCTATGAATTCTTTGGCAACGTGCCATTTTTAAAAGAAAGGATGAGTGAAGTTTTGAGTTTCCAAGTGATTTTTTATTCAGTTCACCTGACAAGCAAAACAAGAGGTCATCGCCTGCAATTCATACAGAGGGCATTGATTAAAAAGCAAATTCGGAAGTTCTTCCTGGTTATTTTCTCCAAAGTTTCAATTATCTGCAGTTGCAAGAACTGAAAATTGTCAGGCATTTAAGAATTTGAAGATTTTGCCTCATGTTCTTACTCTGTATTTAT